TGTGGACACATTCCTGTTCTTTGGTTCCTTTATTCTTTCAATTGAAGTTCCTTAAAATAGTTACTTAGCTTTAAATTTTCTCCCACAGATCTTTGTAAGAAGAAGCATGTCCTCTATGCTACTGAGTGCCATTATGTTTGGCTCTAACAATCTACTCATTATGGTTTAGCAGAGAGGTGTCTCCAAAAGATCACATGTGAGATAATGTGAGAATGTTCAGAAGTGCCAGACTGGATTGTAAGCACTGTAACCTAATGGGTGGATCACCCACCGATGTGCATTCTTGGGGTGATGAGTGTGGGCGGGTAGGGTGGGACTGGAGGGGTTGGCTAATGGGGTGTTCCTGATGAATAGAGCTCTGTCTCCTGGTCTCATGCCTGAGCATCCTTCCTCTGGGCGCCTCTGCCCTGATGCTCTGCTTCACCCCTACCCAGGGCAATGGAGTTGGGCAACCACAGACTGACCTCTGAAACAATGAGCCAAAGTGAACTTTTCTTCCTGTATGTTGTTCTTGTCAGGTCTTTTTGTCACAGCAGGGAAGAAGCTGCCTTGCACCCTGCCAGACACTGGCCCAGAGTGTTGTGCCGCCTCCTCTTCCCACCAGCAGTGCAGGGTGGGCAGTGCCTGCACCGTGGCCAGTGCTGGGGAAGCCTGTCCCAAGTATCAGGCCTTCTGAGAGTACGCAGAGCCTCACACTTGGCTCTGGCCCACATTTCCCAGAACTCGTGGTGCTGAGCGTCTTGGCTCTGTGCTTATTTGCCATCTGTTTATCTCCTTCAGTGAAATGTCTCTTCACATAATTTCCCCATGTTTAGTTGAACTTGGGAGAGTTTTTCAGGCACTCTGGACATGAGTCACTTATGTTATTTCTAGATCTTTTCCAGACTTGGACTTCCCCCTTTGCTTCTGTTTTAGGAGCGTTGCTACCAAGACCTTCCTAAGGGATGGCTGGTGGAGAGAAGGGAGCGGGGGAAACCACGTCGAGGCCTTTGGTTTGTGGTGGGCTCTGGGGGTGTACAAACCCATCATGCCTGTATTTTCTTCAAGTCATTAGTGGATATTTTCTGCAATATTTGAGTTAGGCTATAATTTAAAACCATCGGCCCTTCACAGCTGGCCTGTGAACAGCTGCAATGGCAGGTCAGTGGACGATATCCCTTCCCACAAATAGGCACAGGGTGACTTAATATTCACATGCAGAAAAATGAGCTTTGCTCCATGTTCTGTGCCATAGACAAATACTAACTCGAAATAAATCTGAAACGCTAGTGTGAAAACACAAACAATAACACTTCATGAAAAAAAAATATGTATGAGAATCTTCGTAATCCTGAATTAGATACAGTCTAGATACAGTTTAGATCCTGTCTTAGATACAGTATAAAAAATACTTAACAAAATCTGGGTAATAATGATTTTATTAAAATTAAAATTTTTGCTCTTTAAATGGCAGTTCTCCGCATGGATAAGTTGTACTGCAAGAAAGTAGTCTATGCTTGGTGATGCACTTCTTGACTGAAAATTCTGTAAAGTGAAAACTTATCTATAGACAGGAAGCAGATTTGGGGCTGTTTGGGATAGTGAGAAATGGGCCGATGGGTGAGCGTCAGATTTACAAAAAAATGTGGGGAATTTGGGGGGCATGAAGATATGTTCACTACATTGACTGTGGTTTCACAGATACGGAGATACATATATAGATATATATATATATCTATATATGTATGCGTGCATATATATTACCAAATTGTACTTTTAATTATACCTTAATCAAAATGTTGGGGAAAAGGCATTGTGCCAAGTGAAAAAGTCAGCGATGAAAGGCTTCAAGCTGAATGACTTCACCTGTGTGTCTCTCGAGTCAAGTCCATGCTACTGGGAAGGAAAGAAGAGGGGTGCTTGTCCGAGGTCACAGGTTGGGGGAGACTGTCTGTAAAGGGACAAGGGGATATTTTAAAGCATGGGAAACTTTTGTTACTTTGATTTTGGTGTTATTTGTGTGACTATATCCTTTTGTCAAAATTAATTGGATACCAAATTTTTCCGTGTATCATTTGTAATTCAACAAAATTTATTAAACTCAAAATGAAAACATCCACAGCTGCTCCAATGATTGAGATGCATGAGAAGAATTTAGGCTGCTTGCGGACAGATTCAGGGGGATATCACATGAACTGGGCTGTGGTTAACACTCCCCAGGGTGAGGATGACACAGCTCTGCAGGTCCCAGGGGTGAGGTGGGGGGTGCTCACCTGGACCATGCAAACCTGCCTTCCTCAGGTGCTCAGCCTGAACAAGCCCATTTGGCATCCTTTGTTGGGATGAATGAGGAAAGAAAAAGCCATCCTAAATCCCTGGTGCTGGGCTGCAGGTGGGGTTCAACTTTGGGTCTTCCTGCCATGAAGATTCTGGGAAGATTGAACAATCCACTTCCGTCCTTTGGATCTCAGTTTTACCATCTATAAATATGAAGAGGATGGGTGAGGTAGACTCTATGGACCCCTGTGACCAGCTGGTCCTTCCAGGCAGTAGAAATCTGGGGGCTCGGAATTGTGAGACTCACAAGCAGCATCACCACCTGCCGTGGGCACTGCTGGCTGCCATAGCCAGTGCTCACCAGCAGAGCACGCGGAAGGTAGAGAACTGACCTTTGTCTAGATACACAACCTGAGAGTGGGAGGGCCTCTCCAAGAGTCCCCAAGCTTCCCACAATACAGAATGACCAGAGGTGTCAGCAACACACTGAGCATTCAGGAGGACCCAGAGCTGACGAGCCCAGGAGTCTAGGGGGTGGCTCCCCTGGCACACTCCTGGAAGCAGGTGTTCAGTTGCCCAGCAGAAGACGAGGAGGCCCACAGGGTCACCCTCCACTCAAGGGAAGAGCTGTGGACGCAGCCACTCAGCTGCCTTCCCCAGAAGACCATGTTGGACCTCGGAGATGCTGCTCACTTGATGTCCTCTGCCTACAGAACTCCCCATGGCTCAGCTAAGCAACAGCAGATGCAGAGACCATTGCAACTCTCACATCATCTCTGTTGGCAGAGAGGGCATGGGGGAGCTTCAAGTCAAAATATACCTGAACCAGCAGACTAAGGCACAACTTGTCTGGGGGAAAGACCTCACAACAGTTATAGATGTGAATGACTCAAATCCACCCCTAGATGTCACATTCAGTCCTGTATAGAGAGGGCTTCACACTAAGTTCCTTCTCCAGGGATGACAATAGTCAAATCTACTCCATATGGAAAGAAGATGTCCATTTGCCTCCGAGAGAGGCTCCATTTGAAAAAGTTTTCCAGTTTCAAAAGAACCAAAGAAGGGGAGGGAAGATGTGTCAATGACTGTCACCCTCAGACATTTCCATGTCAATCAAACTTCATTTTTATGTACAAACAGAATCAAAATCTTCAACATGGCTCAGCCAACCAAGGCTCACCAGCTGTGGCTTTCTCCATCCAAGCAGACCTGTGTGAAAATAGTAAGGGTGACAGCCAGTGGGGTGGATGAAGGGGGACTTGCCCTGCATTGGCACACAAGCTGGGCATGATCCTGTCCTCCCTTCATGTATTCGCCATGAGGACCAGCAGTTCCAGACACGGCCACAACCACGGGGAGATAGACCTACAAAACAAAAAGGGAAAAGCAAATCTCAGAGGAAAACATATACTTGACAGTTGTCACAGGATGCAAACCATTTTATTTCTTCATATTATGAACAATCAGTTCATCTAGAGATGGAACTAAACCACCAATAAGACCCACCCTCCTAGC